AAGCGAGCAAAGTTGGTTGTGGTTTAACTGTCCCTGTTTTCTCTTCTGACACCCTAGGTACCGCTTGCACAGCCCCAACCAGCAGGGGCCGGTTTGACTTTGAGCATTTTCCACGAATCAACCACATTCGACAAAGCACTTAAACAAAAGAAGCCTGAGAAAATAAACACCACCAGCCACACCAGCGCCCTCCTGCCACCCACTCTGCCTCCCCCTCCACCACCACCAGCTGCCTTCCTACACTGCCCAACTTCAGGGCAGCCCAAGCTGACTTGGGGAAGGAAGTTCCTAAGAACTTGGAAATCACAGGAGACATTGCCTAGTACCCCAGCCAGTGATATCAGCCCCACAAAGCTCTTAGGGGTTCAAGTGTCCTCTCTTTGCTCCTGTGTTTCCCAATGCAGAAATCCAAACCCCTAACTACAGGCCAGTACTTGCCCTAAAGAGGTCTGCTCAGTTCATGAGAATCAAGGACTAGATCTAAATTAACTTCAATCTTTCTCAAGTCTGGTTGGTCTTATTTTGCTTTCAAATAGGAATCTCTACTTGGTTTCCAGAAGCACTTGTTTCACAGAAATAAGCTTATTGTAAATGAACAAAAAGACTTTCTCAATGTTAAGTAAGCTATTGTTTTAATTCTAATATATGAAGCTTTTTATTTTAGAAGGATCCATTAGCCAAAACAGAAAAATATACAATCACTTATTTTTTCATTGATCTTTTATACATGGAACATTTTGTTTCATATCTTTGCAGAAATACACACACATACCAATGAGTGTCATGCTTGTGTTATTATTCAATAGAAAAAATAGTCAAAGGACAGGAAAAGATATTTCACAGAAACAGAAATATAAATAGACCTTAAACATGAAAAGATGTTTATCTGCACTCATAGAGAAGAGCAAATTAAAACCACAATGAAATACTATTGTTGCCTGTCAGATTAGTAAAATCCCGACATTTGGCAACACGCTCTGAGCTCTCACATACAGTGTGGGAGAAGAACAAAAGTAGGACTATCCCTATGTAGGGCAAGTTGGGAAAACCTATCAAAATCACCAATGCGCACGTTCAAATGACAAAAAATATTATTATTTATTTAAGCATTTTTTATAATAGCAAAAGATTGGAAATGAATCTGAGAACTGAGTATTTTTACCAGTGAACTATCTTGTAGCTATGTAACCGTATCTATATACTGACATAAAAAGAGCCCTGGGATTTATAAATGAAAAGAGAAATGCAGAGCAATGCATACTATCTGTGTAAGAAAGAAATATATATATCAATATATATATATATTGATATATATGTACATTCATGTTTACATGAATAAAAATTAGAGTGTTTTTGAACCATGTAAATGCTCCAATGTTATTTATCTAGCATTTTAATAGGATCAAGTTATACATGTTATGTTTCAACACTATGTCCTGATTATTTTCTATTTGTTTAAAGAATCTACACTTTTTGAAGATGTATATTGGTCTGTTAAATAACATCCTTTATTAGTTTCTGAATGGGCCTTTGTGTTAATTTGGGGCTGTTTGAAAGAGTGTGATAGTGAATAAACATCCCTGCACATAAATCTTTTGTTTCCTTTGGAAATTGATGGATCAAATGGTAGGAATACTTCCCAGGTGAAATGTGTTCCACGCATGCGTAGTGTGCTCTGTGCCGGCTCCTCACACAGCAGAGCTGAGGTTCAAGCGCTGTTTCCCTCACTTGTTGGCCTCAACCCTGGCTGCACATTAAAATGAACAAAGAATCTTTCTCAAAGTCCCGGCGTCTGGCCTGTGATAAAGGCTCCTGAAGGACAGCCCTGGGTAGACGGGTAGGGCAGCCAGTCTAAAGTCAGACAGTTTTGGAATCATATGGACTCACTCAGTGCTTAACTTGGGAATATTTTTTAACTTCTCTGAGACCTGGTTTTCTTATCAGTGAAACCAGTGTAATGCCTGCAAGGCGATGCAGTTGAGGGCTTTAGAGAGTGAAAACTATACGCAGAATTCCTGATACTTGCTAAGTGGTAGGTACTTGCTATTACTCAAACAAAACAGAAAAAGCAAACTAAGAAAAAATCACCTAACAAAACATGATGGAAATTTTGCATTTACTCAGATAAGTTTTCGTGGCTAATGAAGATGTTGAGATTCCAGCTGTTTGACTGAATTATATCCTACAGGTGTAGTACCTCAGGTTATCTCCTATTACTTAGAATTTCTAACGGGCAGTTCTGTGGGACTTAGATTAATATAATGGAGAAAATCAGATATTAATTGTGACCTTATTGATAGATCAAAAGTCTTCAAAAAAATGAAGTCTATGAGGAAAGGAATTCCCAAACAGTGGAGGAAATCCATAGTTGGGAAAATTTTGAGAACTGTGTTGTGTTGAGAAGTATGCGGAGGTTTTATTTATAGTCTTTTTCATTATTTTTTTTTAGTTGAGAATTGTATGCAGTACTCTAGCTCTATAATGACTATTGTTACTTGAGTGTTTATGTGGAATCGTATAAATCTTTGCCTAATTGTTCCATTGCACACCTGTGAATACGGCCTGATGTTCGGGTATTTATTTCATGTTCTCTGGATTTAATCACAGAGGCCCTGTTGGTAAACAGGAGGCCAGTGTAAAATGTCTTCCCAGCATGAACTATCTGGACAGGTGGCCTATGACCCTCAATTGCACGACCAGCATTGGAGCAGGGCAGGGAACCCTGGACAAGTAAAGGGCAGTTCTCGTCACCAGCTCTCAGCCTGATGAGGAAGGACATTTTTCTGCTTTCACTGAAAGTAAAAGTAACCTGTTTCCACTCTAGGAGCAAGTAATAGAGAAGTTAAGAGCAGAGCTCCTAAAGCCAGGCTGCTTCGGTTCCTGTCCCAGCCTTGTTTCCTAATAGCTGTGGGGAAGTTCCTTAGCCTTCTCTGCCTCAGTTTCTCCATCTCTAGGACAGAGATAATTGTACATTTCTCATAGGGTTCCTGTGAGAATTATATGAGTTAACAGGTACTTAGACCAGTACGTGGGTCATAGTGAGCCCTATACAAGTGACTTCTGTTATTACTTCATTATGATGTTAATGACACTGAACTTGTAACTTTAGGTAGAATCTGAAATTATTTCATTTGAACACATTCTTCTAAAGGTGGATAAACTTAGGCAAAGTGAGATGGTAAAGAAGAAATGATACAGCTAGTTAGAGACAGACCAAGTAGCCTTGGCTCTATCTAACTAGCTGTGAAGTGTGACTTCTGGGCCACCCTTCCTCCCACCACACCATGTGGCCTCGCTAGATGTGGCCGTCGTGCTGTGGTGGAAAAGTGCTGGACCCTCAGGGGCGCATAACCTGCCTCCGACCTCAGAAATGCACCTGCACACTCCAGAGTGTCCCCGGGGGGATCCTGACGACCTCCAGGCCTCTCTAGTCTGTGGAAGGAGCTGTCAGAGGCTCCACACGCCCAGAGAGCAGCGTCAGCGGTGCTGCTGTGCTGGGACTTGCAGTCCGTTTCATTAGCTCCCGTAAAGAGCAGGAGCAAGTCTAAGGCAGAATTTCTATCCTGTTTGTAACCAGGGAAGCTATTATGGTAATCCCAGAGTAGATCACAGTTTTATGCCAAAGGGAAAGACTAATGGAAAATTAGTGACAAACCAGTGTCCTGGTGTACGTATGAGAAAACATGAATGTACCCACATGTCCTTAAGAAAATTCTCCCTGACTCCATGGAAGATTCCTTTGGTAAAGAAAGGACATGTCTTTTTTTTGTTTTTCCCAATTGAAAGTGGGTGAAAGGGAAGACATATGATACTGTGTGCATTTGTGTGTGCGTGTGTGTGTTTATATATTCATATATATATATATATATAGGCTCTGCGTTCAGAGAGACCTGGCTTTAAATTATGTCTTTCATGGCCAGGCATGGTGTCATGCACCTGTAGTCCCAGCACTAGGGAGGCTGAGTTTGGAGGATCACTTGAGCCCAGGAATTGGAGGTTGCAATGAGCTATGAGGATGCCACTGCACTCCAGCCTGGGCAACACAGCAAGACCCTGTCTCTAAAAATAAAAATTAAAGAAATTAATGGGCAACACAGCAAGACCCTGTCTCTAAAAATAAAAATTAAAAAAATTAAAAATAACTATTACTTAAAAAATAGTTACCTACTTGAAGTAGGTAGATTAACTCATAATCTTTCTATGCTATAAACTGTGGGCCATAGGAAGGGCTCCTAGAGGACTCATGATTGCCTGGTGAGTGGCAGAAACTCACAGATCCTTTTCCATCCCACCTCACCTCTCTGCAGAGAGGTAAGAATAGAGATCATTGTCAGCTCTTGTGTGTGTGTGTGTGTGGCACCTACTGTTTCCAAAGCAGAGTGACCAACAGTACAAGTCAATGCTCTTGAGGACTTGCCTGTACCAAGCGTTATTAACTCATCTGATCCACACAGCAACTCCAGGAGACAGGTCACTATAACTGCACTTTACATGAGGAAATAATGGCACATGGAGTTCACACGAATACCAGACCCAGGACTCAAACCCAGGCATTCTGGGACGTGCATGTGCCTAACCCCTCAGCCATGCTGCCTTCCTGGTGTTCACGCAGCTCTCATGGGGATAACATGAGGATCAGGAAACGTGATGCTGGGGAAACACTGGTACAAAGCTGCACACAGTGCGAGTGTCATTAGATGGTGCCCTGTTGCCACTGGAATGGTCCAAACCAAAAGAACCTGAATCTGGTGACGTTTAAAAGAAAAGCAACTGGGCTTCTAAGATTGGCTGTGGCTCCTCTTAGAGACAGTGCCCGAAGGGAATTCAAAACCACTATTTCAGGGAAAGAAATGAGAAATGTGGTATTGGACCATTATTACAAGCAACACATAATTTCATAGCCTGATTGTTATGCTGTTTCTTACCTTGGACTTTGAACTCAATTGCATCAAATTAAAGTACACACAGACAAAGGTAGGCTTCTCATTGTTTACGTTTATTGTGCCTATTATGAAAAACAAAGCACAGCATTCCAGTAGCAAAGAAGGCTGCTTCAGGGTGTGTAGAGGGAAGGCTTTCTGGGGGTTATCTGGCTGTAGGGCACTAAGGGGTGAGGCTGGAAGCTGCCTGCTGTCTACACTGAGGCCGTGATGTGATGACCTGGGTTGGCTGGAGGTGCTGGTGGAGACTGCGGAGAGAGTTGTGCTAAAGGCTGCCCTGAGCAACTCACTGTTGTTACAGGATGAAGTTTTCTGTTTGCCACTGGTTTGAAAAACCACCACCAAATAATGACATAATAGAATAACACACATGGAAGCTAAAATAGCCCAAATCCAGAAAGCAAGCCCAGCTAGATCCTCAGCAGACACTTTTGGGGACAATAAATGATGAAGAGAAGACGAACCCTTTGTGCCACGATCTCTTAGGATCTCGTCCCACTGCAGCAGACAGCTGTTCTTCCAATCAGACAGAAGACGATGACCCCAAAATAAACCACACTCTTGAGGAGCAGGAGGAGGTAGGTGTAGTACGCAGAGGTATTCGTGAGCTGCAGCAACAGTTCATCTAGGAGAAGCCGTTGAATTAGTTCACTGTTCTTTTGGCAGGCCAGGACATACTAATGGGGAGGGGTTCCCAGGCATTTATTTCTGATGATCTACATTGAACTGACATCCCATGACCACTGAAATCTGAAAGTAAATATATACCACTACCACCACTAACTTCAAAACCAAGAGCAAGACAACTCATAATTCAGCTTGCACGTTGATTAACAACCTCTGCTGAATTCACTGAGAATATTCCAAAATATTAAAAATAAGGTTTCATTTTTAATGAATGAGTACAACAGTGAATAAAAATATTTGTCATAAATATGTTTCAGAATTTTTTCAATTTCTTCACCCCCAATATGTCTGTAATAATAATAGATAATATTAATTAACCACTAAGTGTGAAACACTATTCTGAGATATCTGGATGTAAATCTTTAATCTTATTTGATCTTTATAACAACCTATGAGAGAGAGACAGAGACATTCCGTTCATTGCCATTTGCAAATAAAGAAACTGAGGATAGTGAGAGAAAGAATTTGCCTGATGACATACATTTAGCAAATGCCAGAACCCAGATTGCAACCCAAGTAACCTGACTTTAAAGAACAGAACATATTCTTATCTACTAGTAGTTGCAAGTGCAATAAACACCCCAAACATCAAAAGGTTAAGCATAAAGTTGAATTGCTGGTATAGAAGCATCTGAGCCATTGCGAATTGTGCATGTGAAGAGATCTCTCTCTAGGAAGAGAGCAATCTAAGGAAATTTGGTGGTGCTTATAGCAAGAAGGGTGGAAGCTTTTAGTAAAGAGGGCACTATGAAAAAATACCATAAAGTGGTTAATCGACATTCTCTGAGCTGTGCGTTGGTTGTGGCACACTCACCTGTCCTTCCTAAATGTCTATCGTTGTGGCTATGATATTATTGGGTCACTGCACTTAATATCCTTTGAAGTTTTGCAAGAAATATGTGATGTCAAGGAGTGAGTAAAGGCTACTCAATGAGACATGAGGCTGAATGTCTTCCTGTGGAAATTTCCATTTTACATGCTCTGTCATCACAGAGTCGGAACTTCAGAAACATTAGGCCTTGGTGTGGAAAGGAAGCTCAAGAAGTGATGTGTTCATAACTCCCTGTGCTTGGTCACATCAAGTGTTATTGCCGCCCCACCTTGCGTAGTGTGGCAGCTGAAATCCAGGGCCCCCTTGAGACTGGGGACAGAGCAAAGTTGAGCAGGGCTGGAGCCAATGCTTCCAGTCACATGCTTTGTGCATAGACGGGAGAAAGGGCCAGAACCAGCACTGATTCTGTGCCTGCTAAATGAGGTGCCCTATGGCAGACCTTTCACATCTGTGCCCTTGTCGCTTCAATAACTGTGAGTTTGGTGTAATTATTCTCAGCTGGAAGATGAGAAAAGCATTACTCACAAAATGTCAGTCACTTACCCATATCCATGCAACTAATCATTAAAAAATCTAGGGTTAGACCAGTCTGTGGTCTCTGAAGCCCGTGTACCTGCCCACCCCCACAGTATATCCATGGTGTCTCAGGGCCCTGGCTTTGGAATTTATTGCTATGTGACTACATTGTAGAGAAGGAATAGAGAACTTAATAAGTGTATGAACTGTTCATACCATAGTCTGATTTGAAACCCCAGATCTAGCTGTGTGACATGCGTAAGGGACCTAAATCATTTTAGCTCACTGCCTCATCTACAAAATGGAAGAAAAAACATTGTACTAACTCATAGGAGTGTTACAAGAATTAAACAAGAAAATGTATGTAGAACACAGCCCAAGGCCTGCTGTATAAAAACCACTTCATAAGTCAGTAAGTACTAGTTCCTATTATTAGCTACTAGCAAGGACCAAAGACTAAAAACAAAAAAAAACAAAAAAAAAAAATCTGGAAGCAAGTTGGTAGCATATTTTCCGCAGACATTAGGAAACAAAAAAGAGAGATGAAATGAAATCCACTTGGTAAAATAGTCCAGAGCATAGCACTGTACCCTCTAATTTGCAGTCATCTCACACCTAAAGCAGCAGTTTGCTATATTAATATGACTCCTAGGAAATAATCGACTAATTTAAAATATCATACTCAGTCTCTTCTGCAATACCCAGCCATTCTGATTTTTCATTCCAGGAAGTTCAAAAGTTAAGATGATCAGGAGGAAAAAAAACACAAAAACTTACCGCTTTCATCTTGCACACAAGGAACAGCGGTGACAACTAGAAGAAATGAGAGCAAGTACTGGTCAATTGTTCATGTCCATTATTTGACAGGATGTGTATGTGTATATGTGTGTATATATATGTATATAAATAAATATATGCTTTATTTGTTACTTTTACTATATGACTCTTTTATTTAAGCCTTCTGAAATAATTGGTGGTAAGATGTGGAATATAAATAAATATATGTAAAATAAAAATTTCT